TATATATACAGTATATATATATATATGTATATTAGTATATATACTGTATATGTATATTAGTATATATATATATATGTATATTAGTATACACGAGGCTAGAACGTTAGGTCTACTACGTACCTCTCAAAATTAATAGATGCGATTGTCAAGGCTGAACATAATTGTGACTGGAATTCCAAGAATAATGTAACTTTACAGGCGCTATTATGAATAAAATCCTCTCCCGACTGTGTTAGAATAAGATATATATATAATGGGAAATACGTTAGACAAACTAAAATATCGGCTACTGCAAGGTTTACTAAAAGAATGACGGGTGCACCTCGTAACTGTCTACATCGACGAATAAGAAAAATAACAGCGACATTTCCCGTACATCCAATTATAAATAGAACAATGAAGATACAAGTAAACAGATGAATCAGCCATCCAGGATTGAACAGGCAGAAAAAAAAGCCGGAGTAACAGATATAATCCTCAGCGTTTTTCTGGGCAGCCATCCTGGCTGTTGTACCTGTATTTTTTCTTAAGTTTAACTTAAGTTTCGTTACTCTTCACACTCTTCACAACGAAAATACACCTGATGAAACAATACGAAAAATTGATTTAAGTATACCGATAGTAATAGTAATAATAGTCATGCAGAATAAACTTAATGATAATATCAATATTAATGTTAATGACAATGATGATTTTAGATAATGATAATATCAACAACCGCAACATTAGTGATATTCATAAGATTCATATGCAGTTGACAAACATATACGTATTAAGTTTATCAGAGCAACATGGTATAGAAAATGAAAAAAAAAAATGCGAATCGAAATTGTTTATTTAAGAATGAAATTTAATAAAAAAAAAAAAGTAGCAGAGGTATCTAAATCTGAAAATTGATAAATATCTAAGTTTAAAAAAAACTACTATCGCAAAAAAAGGAGGACAATGAACATATATGGTCATGATGTGATGTCATCATGACCATATTTAGGAATGTCACGTTTTTGTCAAGTACAATTTGATAAACTCTGGTCAGATCTTAGTTGCACTCAATTGTGTAGGACTATCCCTTTTCAAGTCTTAGCTAGAACTTGCATCTGGATTTGGAACTCGCATAAAAAAAAATTAATAATTGATCAAACCGAAATAATACAAAGAAGGGCGATCATATGTAATAATTATAGATTGGATACAGTGGCGTAATGGTGAAGCGTCGGGCCTTACGGGTCTTACTACCATGAGGGCCGTGTAGCTGGCTCAGTGGGGTCCGAAGACTGATGGGATGCTAGTGTAAATATGCGGATTTTAGGTTTACCAACCCTTGGAGAGAGACGTACAAATGGAAAATGATGATGATAATAATAATAACAACAACAACAACGACAATAATAACAACAACAACAACAACACCGCCGATTTTAACATATTAAAGCACCATTTTCAATTCAATAAGACATTAACTTTCATTCACTACAAACAAAATACAGTAAAAACAAAACATATTAATAAAACGATTACTTACGTTTTTTGTTTTCCCTGCTACAGCAAAGGTTGATGAATCGTCACAAAATGAAAATATCACATTATCGTAGCCTATATATAGGCTTCAATCCCTTTTTAAAACTAAACTCGGCGTGAATGAGACGTCATTTGATAGTATCTTTGGCAGCAACATTTAGTCCTATTTTATTCCCATATATGTTGTGCCTATATATAGTCATGTTGTTCCCATATATAGTCATGTTGTGCCTATATATGACCAGGATGTCATGTCATCATGATTATATTATAAGCATGTCATATATTGTTATCATATTAAATGTAATGGTTTTTGCAGGGCTATTGCAGAACGAGCCACTGTACTGTTTATCCCTAGGTTTTAAGCCACTTTAAACAACAACATTGTGATGTAAATAGATCAATGTATAATTTCAAAGCACAGGCATGTCAATTACACTTAGTTAAGGCAAATTATTTACACTTTCATAATAATAATAATAATAATAAAATTATTATTATTATTATTATTATTATTATTATTATTAATCATGATAATAATGAAAATGTGAAGTCATCCTAAAAGATGTTGATGTCGCATCGACACCACAATGAACTTCAAATTTTTAACTACACTTATGTTAATAAGTAACATGAATTTGTTATAATTTCTTTAATTAATAATTTAATTATTAACAAAAATTTACTCTACAAGCAATCCACATTAGTTATATCAAAAACAATGCCTACACATTTATTGACACGTGATATGTGTGTGTGTTGACGTGTGTAACGTTCTGAAACATCTAAAAATTGCTTAGAAAATAGCTCAACACTTCCCTTAGTTTTTCTAGGCACTAGGAGTATTCCTGGACCCTACCAGACTTTTTTTCCCTAGTAGGCCGAGATCGCATCTTGCTGGGCCTCCCTCCACTGATATGCCTAATTTTTAGTGAGACTGTTCACCAAGTTTTTAACCTATAGATTAAAAGAAACGTGTTGATGTCTATCGCCGTGTTTAGCTCCCTTAAAGAGAAATTATACAGAGTGTTCGTACCGGTGTAAGGTAAAATGGCCCTGGAAACAATGGCCCCTGAAGGAATGGCCTCTGTAAAAATGGCCCCTGAAAAAGTGCCCGCTGTAAAACTGGCCCCAAATGACAGGTAGGTAAAAATGTCCCTAATGATAAAATTCAGAAATAAAAATGTTTTTATTTTTAATTATTTTTTTTAAAATCTTCAAACAATTTGAATGCTGTAAAATAGCAAAAAAGTATTCAATAAATCAACATAAATTATACTCATTTTTAAAAAATCTGCCAGTAATGTCATTGTCACATAAGTTTATATTAGGCTTACTTTTTACAGGAATAAAAAAATAATAATAAGTAGTCCACAGATTTTAATAAAGTAATAAATGACATGTTGGCAGCAGAAACTATACTGTGATTGTGTAAGTGACAACTAAACTATATTTAAATTGGTCAATTTTTTTTAAAGATTTTTATTGGTTGTGAATCTGTACTTCAGCCAAATAAAAGCCTTTTGGTTTTTAAAATACCATATAAAGAACATGTCTAGTATACTAGGTGTTTTTGAGAATTATCACTCTGGATTATTTGTGAGTGATCATCTATATTTTAGGGAATAAGTACAGAACACCTCCATTATATATTAAAGTTTTAGTTTCTTTATTTGGTGATATAATCAGAAACTAGCATTATACCTTATTTTACGGGAACCTTGACTTGTTTATTGTTAGTTTATCAATACTCAGAATGAAGTTAAAAATGTCTGCAAATTTATTCTATTTATTTATTTATTGAACATATACAGGATAACATATTAGGAGGAAGTAACAACCTGTTTTACATATGGTACTGTTCTGTGATACAAATTACAGTATAAAAATCAACAAGTTGCCTATTAATAGAATTGAAAATAGATTTAATTACAAATAGGGCCTATGAATAAAACATTTAATCTAAACCACAGAATTCATACGATTTTTTAAAATAAATCAAAGAAGTTAAAATCACAAGGTAATGTAAAAATGAATGATAAAAGCCTATTTGCAAAATTAAAATAGTAAAATTCAGTAGCAAAATATTAAAAGATGAGTCAAATAGTTTCAAGAAATGAAGCCATATCATGAAATTGATAGAATGAAATGCTAGTATTTTAAAAGCGGTATTTTAATTTAGATTTTATTAATTATAAATATTATTTTTATATTTCAATTTGAAATTAAATAATTAGTTTCTTTTAAATTCTGCGGTGGTGTTTCATATATTTGCACCAGCATTATATATGCGAAGTCTTCGTAATATTTAAATTTACTAAATTATTTTAATATTAAAAAAATGCATATGATTTATGTTTATTTATGGATTAAATTGTTGCTATTTTGCAACATTTAAGTAAGTTGGGAAATAAAAAAAAATTAATGATATTCATATTTATAATTCCTGCAAAATATATCATAAAATGACAACTTACTTGATAATAGATTATTTTTAAAAACTAAATTATGCATACTATAATGATTTATGTTGATATTGATTCAAGTATTTTTTTTTTTTAATCAGTTTAAATACAAAATGTTATTATTGGGGGCAATTTTTGCCAACCTGTCATTTGGGGCCATTTTTACTGGGACCATTTACTCCTGGCCAATTTTTTCCGGGGCCATTTTTCCTACAACTCATTAGCTGTTCCTCAATTTAAATACTCCCTCTATTTAGAGACGAATGATCATGAGTTTGGAGGACTCAATTGAACTTTTCCCCTCCATTTAACTTGTCTGGATACCATGAAATGTTATTATTAATAAATAACAGCATGCATTGACTTTAAATCCACTTTAAATTCATTTATTGTAACATTTCGTAATTTCACCCTAAATTTAAAAAAAGTTTAAATTCCACATTACTATAAGTGCAAATAGAGGTGCCGTCTCCCGTGGAGTCGCAGGATGGAGTCAGGAAATCGGCGGGAAGCCTCGCACACTCCTGCGGCGTGTATGCACTAATCTCGTGAAAAAAATAAACTTCCTGAAAATTTTTTTACTACTGTATTATCCATTGTTAGTGCCAATAGGTATCACATGCACAACAAAATATATTTAGATTCTAGAAAACACTTCAACCAGATCTCTCAGATGAGCATTCAACTTAGGACCTCTAAATGTCGGTCTTAATTATAGGGGATCCAAAGGCTATGGGTTTAGGAGACCAAACTGACATTTTCCGTCCAATTAAAGACTTGGCCTGTACCTCAAAAAATATTTACAAGTGTATAACACTGCTCTCCCATACCGTTTGTGTTGTACGTTGAGGTTTCTATTTTGTAATTTAACTGAATATTCAAAATTTAGAGCTCATTCAATTCTTGCTTTATGGGTTTAAAATATTGGAAGTTTATAAACTTCATAACGAATGAACGAACGAACCAATGATAGAGCGAACAAACGAACGAATAAATGGACAAACGAACGGACAAATGAACGAATGAATGAATGAATGAATGAATGAATGAATGAATGAATGAATGAACGAACGAACGAACGAATGAATAAATTAAAAAAACTATTGAATTGCTCATTAATTACGAAAAATGAAGCCCCGGGCTTTTTCTTTTTTTTTTTTTTTGAAAAAAAAATATAAAGTGAAATACAATAAGACAGAAGAAACAGACATATATTTAGGACAAATGATAACCCTACAAAATAGATGTTTAAGAAATGCTGTCTTTAGTTGAAAAAAAAAATCATTAGAAAATATTTGAATTGCATAATTAAAATTATTAAAAAGATTTCCAACTTTTCAAAATGAATGCTGCAAACTTTGGGAATTACTACGGTACTATAAAACAATTATAGGCCACTATAACATCAATCAGTATCCTGGAGTGTATTAATCTGCTTTAAACCACCTAAATTACTGTATTTAAAGAAAAAAAAAATTAATTTTTTTTTTTATTTCTTTGAAATTCATGTACATTGTATGTACTGTAATGTACGGCTTTTAACTGCATACAAACTCATCTGCTTATGGATAAGCTAAAATTTCTAGATGTAAACCCTAGTTTAATACTCTGGATCGGTGATTTTTTATCAGATCGCCCTCAAAAGGTAGTTATTGGGAACATGGTATCTGAGGAAACATTATGCAACACAGGAGCCCCGCAGGGGTGCGTACTTTCCCCGGTTTTGTTTAGCATTTATACTAATGGTTTCAAGATTAATTTTGATGTTGATGACTGCTGCTTACTCAAGTATGCTGATGACAGTGTCATCATTGGATCCATTAAGGATAATAATGAGCAAAAGTACAGACAGTCTATTAATGAATTTGTCACATGGTGTATAAACAATAATCTTACTTTAAATACAGATAAAACTAAGGAGATCATATTTGATTTTCGACGCAGTAAAACCAGAGTACCAAATGCTCTCACCATTAACGATCAAAACATTGAAATTGTGAACGAATTTAAGTACCTGGGCGTTGTCATTGATAAAACATTAAACTGGGAAGCAAACACTTTATCAATTACAAAAAGAGCTAGTCAAAGGATGTTTTTCCTAAGAAAACTAAAAACATTCAATATTAGCTGTGAAATTTTAAATCTTTTCTTCAAAAGTGTAATAAGAAGTGTTCTGCTCTTTGGTTCCATTGTTTGGTTCTCAAATCTTACACAAGCTGAAAAAATAAATTATTTAAAATAGTAAAGTGGGCCAGCAAAATTACTGGGGAAAATCCTGAAAATTTGGATGAGTTACATGAAATGGACATACTCCGCACAGTTAAAAAAAAAAATCTGCGAGAATCCTGATCACCCATTAAATAAGTACTATAAGAAAAGCCGAACTGGCAGACTAATCACCTTACATCAAAACACTAAACGTTGTAGACAATCTTTTGTTCATAATTCCATTCATGTCTTCAATAAACATTTCAGTAGATAGTCATTTCTGGAAATGTTGCTGTCTCTTATTGGTGGGTGGGGACTTTTCAGGAGATATGGAGACTCACTGTGATCCACCGGCAGACAGTTAGCTGTTTTCTGTCTCTGTGACTACCAGGCTATTTTGTAGTTTCT